AACTCCTTCTGCACTTCGGGTCGGCCGAACATGCTGAGCATGTTCGGCCGACCCGAAGCAAGCCGATGTACGGCTGATTTCAGCCGATGTACGGCTGAAATTAGCCGTACCAGCCTGAAGTGAATAGCCGAACAGTGTTCGGCTCACTTCACTTCAGATCGGTCATTCACTCGGCTGCCCTCAGCAGCTTCGTGAATAGACCCCAAAGTCATGCATGACTGAAGTGAAGACCTCCTTAGAAAGAGCAGAAACAAACTAAGAATTCTCCACGCTGCACTTGTAATGCAGGAGCATGAGCGGGCAGATCCATCCTCAATAGTTAATGGCGGGAAAGATCATGGGTCATGCAACACTCTACCCAGCCAATGATGTCTGTCAGTGTTAACCCCTTCTGTTAGCAACCAGTGGAAACACTGGATTTTACATGCCCAGCGATCCTAACCATGAGATAGCGTCCAGTGCTCAACCAAATGAGCTGTCAGAGACCGGAAAAGCACTGTGGCAATGCTACAGACTCTGGACCTGTGCCTGGAGGTCACTTCCAGGCTATCCTTGCAACGTCCAGTGGGGTTCGGTCATTGGACTCCAAAAACCAAACTGGGCATAGGCCACTCCAGATAGCTATAAAAAAGGTAGAAATCAGTTCTAGCAGCAATGTTGAGAAGAGTCTCAATTGAAAAAAAAAAAAAACATGAACAAAAAATTGTTTATTCTTTTCACAGAAGGCTGAAGAAAAGACATCCATTCTCAAAGGACACTAGCAAAACTGAGGCATGCTGATAGGGCGTGTTATCCTGGACAATTTTTTGCCACCGTCTAATCCATCTGTAAGTGGCACTATAATTCAAAATGTAGAACTTGCAGTGTCCCTCAATGGATGTATTAATGAATACAGAGTTGCATTCATTTGTGTCTTTTATATCTTCCTGGAGTTCAGCTTTAATTATGCAAAAAGGTGACCTTCAGAAAATCTACCATTAGCACTTTCAGTTAAAGTGCATCTGTAAGAGAGATAGAAAGCAACCTATTTTCCACGAGGTGCCTGCTTTTACATCTGCCTTGCTGTGCCACTGTGTGGATTGGGTGAAACTCCTATGCAAGTTTAGACTTTCTTAAAACTGCACAAAGAGCTCTTTGCCCTAGCGGTTCACCTGCGATTTACCTTTTATTAAGCATACAGCTAATTTTATAACGGCATTAAGAGGGGATAAAACCTCAGTTGATGAGCATGCACATATATAGACCTACAACAATATGGATGGCAGCCATTGTACGTGGAGAAAACTAGAATACAAATTCAATTATGGTTATAAAGTTAAAGAAGAGATTAAAATACATACCACTTGTACACACTCCATCAATGGTAGTCGTACAGACTGGTTACCAGATAGGCTTACGACACAGGCTGGTGTTTTAGGTGTTGCTTCCATCAATGCAATAACTGCTTCCATACCCATTTTACTGCTCTGCAAACAAATATATAGGCAAACATGATCTTCAAAGCAAAAAAATATAATTTTGTTTTTAAAGAAACAAACTATTAAAATGGTTTAATATGTTAAAGGTTTAAATGTTTTGATTCTAGGGATACGCTCGTTGGGCAGCACTGTGGCTTAAACTATGAACACCTTCACTCTTTGATGCAATTTAAAATCAAAGACTAACAAAAGACATTTGTAGGCTTACATTTAAACTATAGTACTGCTTTAAAAGAGTTGTAGGTGGCTTTCTACCATAAACCAACAGCCCAATATTCCCAAAAACTGTGACCAAGGTCTCAGTCTCTCTCACTCTCGTTCTCTCTCTCTCTCTCTGTGACATCTCTTAGACTAATTAACCCTAAGCCATTGACATACTTCACATTTGTTTTAAAAGTGACTGACACATTGGGGGTGATTTACTAACCTAAACACACGCACGCACCAGGTGCGTGTGATTTTTACACAGCAAAGCGTATTTATCAACCAAAAAGTCTTTATAAGCATATTTCCACTAATGCCATATATGGAAAAATCATGCACACGATGCATATATAATGCTGCTTCACAGTTTAGACAAAAATGGTTAGCTCATGCATTTACATTCCTGCATTCATCAACGCAAGCAACACAACATAGAGCTAATTTACACAACATCACCTTGCAATTCATGCTTGGCTTTGCACAACACACCTGCTGGGTTTGTACACACTACAAAGGTGTTTAGATTCCACCCATAGATCATGCTGGGAGGGAACACACTACAGAGGTGTATACATGTTCGTGGTGTGTTTATAAGGTTAGTAAATCAACCCCATTGCCTCCATAAAGAAGACAAGGCAGCCGATGCCATGACTCACTACAACTGAGGAACAAAAAGTAAGAAATGCAGGTAGGAGGTCCTAAGCCTTAGCTGCTCTAGCCAAAACTAAAACAAAATGTTTTGTTTAAGTTCCACTTCAATAAAAAGAAATAGGCAACATTTCCATATGTTTCACAAGCCCAATATATAATAATTCATAACACATCTTTGGATGTGGTGGCACCATTAGTTTTCTTTTCTTTATTTTTACCAGCCAGTAATTAACTTACTGTCTTAGGGTAGCAACCCTCATTTCTCCACTGTATCTATGAAGGAACGGTGTTCCCACTTTGGACAACATCATTGAAGGGTAGTGTTAAGATAGGCTTAGGTCACTTGTGTAAAGTCCATATGATTCTACTAACAAATTAAAGCCCAACGCCAGCTAACACTTTTTAAGCAGTTACAGGAACATTTTTGACCCATTTGGGGTAAAGGTTTTACTTTAGTGAATAAAAGATCACCAGTGTACGCATCCTTGTCATGTTTATATGGTTGTCTTAACCCTCTAACCTGCCACTTTTGCAGGACAGATTGGTCTGTTAAAGGAAATAACAGAAAAAACATTAACACAGCATCATATACTGTATGTAATTTTTTATTTTGCTCATAGTTCCACTTTGAACTATCTTACTGTGCATTATGTGAACAGATTAGTTTCATGCAAGAAACCAAATACTCAAGAAAGCAAATTCGAAGATATTATAAAAAGTTTCTGTATTGTTAGAATATGTCTGTATAAAACTGAAATGAGTTACACTTTTTTATTGCACACTATTACATTCTTAAATAGTGAACTATGAAGTGCTTTGGAAGGGAAGGCATGCATTTACTATAGTGCAGATTTCTAAACATTTTCAAGGGTGAAATTAAAGACCTGCTAAATCCCCTATACCGGTTATGAAGCAATGGGGGTTGTAAGTGATTGGTACAGCTACAATACTAGTAACCAAAACAGTGGTACAGGGAGAGAATAAATATGTTATTAAATAATTATAAAAGTTACCAAGACACGATCAAATGCTGATGGAGTTCCTCCACGTTGTACATGTCCGAGAACTGTGATTCTGGTATCAAATCCGAGGCGCTCTACAACCAGCTGTGTAGAAAAAAAAAGTCATAATATTCAAAATTAGTCAGTCAAATACATCTCTACCAAAAAAGTTTTTGCAAAAACACAGCTTTTTGTGAGTGTTAAACGTGTATTGTATTATAGCAGCCTATTTTAATAAATGCACCAAAACGCAAAAAAAAAAAAAAAAAAAATCGGCCATGCAGTATTTTTTAGCAACGTAGCAAACCACAATGCATGGTAGTGTGTTACCATGAGTTGCAAAATGGCATTCCTCCATCAAACAACACATTGGGGGTGTTACTAACCTAAACACACGCACGCACTTGGTGCGTGTGATTTTTACACAGCAAAACGTATTTAATCAACCAAAAAGTCTCTAAAAGCATATTTCCACTAATGCCATATATGGAAAAATCATGCACATGATGCATATATAATGCTGCTTCACAGTTTAGACAAAAATGGTTAGCTCATGCATTTACATTCCTGCATTCATCAACGCAAGCAACACAACATAGAGCTAATTTACACAACATCACCTTGCAAATTCATGCAGGGCTTTGCACAACACACCTGCTGGGTGTGTACACACTACAAAGGTGTTTAGATTCCACCCATAGATCATGCTGGGAGGGAACACACTACAGAGGTGTATAAATGTTCGTGGTGTGTTTATAAGGTTAGTAAATCAACCCCATAGTGTCAGAATTATTTGAGGGCATTTTGTTGGAATATTGTTGTATTTAGGTACAATACATCTGAAAACACACATTCAGGTGTACAATATAAACAATGGAAATATGGTGGTTAGCTCTCCTGTCTTTCAGCATTGATCTGCATGGAACTGGAATAGTTCTCACATGCTTGTGTAGGTTTTCTGTGTGCACTCAGATTTTCTCTTACAACTAGAAAACATATGAGTAGGTCTATCAGTTTTCATCCAAACTGAATGAATGGAATTTATGCAAACTACAGCAGACAAAATCTGGAGCAGCTATGCATGGCAACCAATCAGCTTCTATCTTTCATTTTCAAATCTTAACCTAAAAAAACTGAAGAGAGAAGCCGATTTGTTGCCATGCACAGCTGCTCCAGATTTTGTCTGCTCCAGTTAAGATAAATTCCCCCCAATGTGTCCATATGATTAGTCACTGTAAGCTGCTGTCCTGTCCATGGTCTAAATAGTCTATGAAGAGCTGCAGAATTTCAATTAAATTCCATTATTTTTTTTTTAAATGCTGATATTACCAATATTTATAATAATTATGATTTATATTATTTGATTCTTTTTCATATACATTATAGAACTCCAATATACCATATTTGGCATAAGGTTCTCAATCGAACAGATTTTCTTTATTCATCATAGTGCTTTTTTAATTACTTTTAGTTATAAAGTGTTCTGCTATAAACAGGAACCACAGTGGTGTAATAAATATCTCAGTTATATTGGATATAAAGTTGGCACACCCACCCTGACCTCCTGACCAGCCCAGGTTCTTTTCTGTTCATGTATGCTTTGACAGTTATAGTTGAGGTAGGTTCTATCCTGGAATCACAATGTGTACCGGAAGTTTGATGTTTCCTGTTTTTCTTGGCATGGTTGGTGAATTCCAAAACAGCGCTTGTGTGTGAAAATCCTGATGTTATGCATCAGCTGTGAAAGGAAAGTAATTTTCCTTGTTGGATTAAGACTGGCCATATACCTATAGATTTTCTGCAGATTTTCTATGGTCAGATGGAAAAAGTGCAACAGATTCCTCCATCTACACTAAACTGTGTGGATGGAGGAATCTCCCGCTGGGCCAAGCTTCAGTATCTTGCTAGTTGGCCCAGCTGGCTCTCAAAATACCTGAACAATCTGATTGGATGCAGGCATTGTTCAGGTGTTTTGAGAGCCAGTGGGACCAACTAGCAAGATACTGAAGCTTGACCCAGTGGGAGATTCCTCCATCTACACAGTTTAGCATAGATGGAGGAATCTGTTGCACTTTTTCCATCTGAGCATAGGCTGATAGAAAAAAAAAAAATCTATAGAGAATCTGAAGGTGTACTGTACGGCCAGCTTTGAATGTGAAGGCTAGCATTTTCCTCAAGCCTTATACATACCAAGAACACATACCTGCAATAATGTGCAGTGTGCAAAAACAAGAGTAAAGTAAAGATGTTTACCTGCATTGTACCTGAAAGCAAATATGTGCATATCTGGTTGACTGTTTAGTAGCAAATGCATGGTAACTGAGGTTAACCAAAATGGGTTGATCTACTTAGGGAAAACAGACTGCTCACTTTGTAACTTGAATGTTTACGGATTTTAGTAAATAAAATGAAACGGTTTACCCTAATCAAGTGATAGCAAAATCCTTTTTTATTTTAATTTCCCATACTGTACAGGATTCGCTATTCAATGCAGAAGAGCTAGGAGATCTCTAAAGATTTCCCCAAAAAAGTCATTGAACGGATTTAAGAATAGCACGCGATAATGTAATAAACAGTTTTAGTGACCACACAAGGGCTTGTTAAGGTAATTCTCTGCCCCTTCACTATAAAGAGGTTTTAAAACTTTATAAACTCCTTTTACAGGACATGGTTTCCCAGGTTTCCAGTGAGTAAGTAATATGAATTAAAGGCCTGGCCTAGCAAAAATTGGAAGCACAACTTTCGGCGGAGATTTTGAGATGCTTTGCTTATAATTTGGATTTTTACATGTATAACGGGACCAGTACTATCACAGCCTTTATTTTCTCAGGTTTAGACTTGGAACATTGTATATCCCCAACTTAATACAATTGATGCCCACAAATTGTACCTGCACTAGATTTTGTGATTTGTTTTCATTAATATACAAAACGCTCAGTGTGAACCAGGCCTAACTCCTCCTGCCCACTCTCTGAACTGTAGGAGTAGCTGTTCTCACCTGTCCCTGCAGTTCTTCCTGCTCCCCAGCAGCAGATATATGCGTGTGTGTCTGTTTCTATTTGCGTGTGTGTGTGCTTTTTCTCCATTAGCTTCACTAGCTTCTGAACCCCTTTAGCACAGAGTGCCTAAAATTATATTCTTCTATCTAGCCTGCATTTACACCTAGAACATGCATCGCGTTCGTGCACATTTGTTCACCGCATTTGCCGTGTGTCCCTATTGATTTCAATGGGTTCATATACATGCGACAAATACAGCAAAAGCTCATGTAGTTCTTTGCACTGCATGTGTTCTGTGTGTTTTGCTTCCGCATTTGTGTGCATTTTCACAAGCGCAAATGAGGAGCAAAAACGTGCATCTTGCTGATCGCGTTTGGAGTGCCATTAGAAATGAATGGCACCATAATCGCGTTGGGACGATTTGCCGAATTTCCACGAACGTACATTGGATCAATTACTCCCACATGTTCTAAATCACCTGCTCTTCAGACAAAATGCTGTATGGTTGCACAGAAAAAACTAAAATTAAAAAAAATCATGCTTTTTTTTTTGGATGTGGGAGATGGGGTAGGGAAGAACTTTATGGTTTCATTCACTGAGACCCTGAGGTTTATGTCCAGCCTCCGTCCGGAACTACAAGGCTCACATTGCAGTGTCATTCTTTCATGCTGTTGCTTGAAGTTCTCCAACACCTAAGGCTGCATTGTGGTAATGGTGGTAGAGCTGCAAGTCTCAGCATTAGCCTACATGGCTCGACGGGTGAACTTTCATCATTATTGCTAAACTTTTGTTTGCACACCTATGCATGTATTTCTTAAAATGAAAATTTGGCTTCGGCAGCACAAGGTTGTGTCAGCTATAGCAATCTTTTTTAAAGGTGTTCTATACCAAGTTTATTTTAGAAAGAAAACACATGTAGAATCCATTAAAGATTTATTACAACACATTACAAATTGCTTTTTGGTCCAAATAGTACAGTATAAAAAATAATAATTAAAAAAAAAACACACACACATGAAAAACTAAAACTACACAAAATTTGCTTCTAAATATCGTAACAAGACATTTAAAAGCGGAACTAAACTCTTCAATACTCACATCCTCTCCAGCGATGCGATGTCCATAAACTTCCTCACCAGTTGCAACATCATCTTCTTTCAGGTTTACGATTCATAGCCTTCTTGATTGGCCTGATGTAACTCTAGTGCATGCGCACAGAACATTATTCATCCCGTCATAAATGAGTGCGTGCGCAGTTCAGTGTACATTCTAAAGCATATTACAAAAAGGAATGTAAGAAGCCTTTTTTGCAGGAGAGACATAGTAGGTCTCTTCTCCAATGCAAATTTGTCTTGCTTGCAAATGTTTTAATTCATAACTAAGCTTTAAATGTTTTAATAGAAATGGCAAATAGATGTACTTTATAATTTAGTAAATGGAACTCTAATTAAAAAAAAAAAAATGCTGAAAAAATAATTTACTCACATTTTTTACAAAATTAGAGGTAATCGGTTTCCCACTGCGATCAATAGCTCCTTCTGCAATGATAACTATATTTAACCTTGAACCTCGACTTCGAGTCTGCATGAAGTAAAACAAATATTTAAAAAATAAAGTGTCATAAAAGAAATACATTGCTTGCTTTGAAGGCAAAAAGAATCTATGGTACACTTAACTGTGGTCCATGTAGCTAACACATGTAGTGGAATTAAGTAAAGTTAGTTGTGACCCTAGGGAGACAAACTAGTATCTCCACTGCATTTACCTAGTGGTAGTTGCCACAGGGACACAGGAAGTCATTCAACTTTGGGATGTCCCAAAGCAGTCCATTTGAGGGGTGGACAACACATCAAACAAATGCTCACATGCCCAATACAAAAAAACAAACAACAGAACTAAAGACTGTCTACAGTTCAAAAGCCAACTGAAGCACCATAAAGCAGGAAGCTGCCATCAGATGTGAACAGAAGACCAGGAGGCAGCCTTGCAAATCTGGGAAACAATAGCTTAATGCCAAAAGCCCAAGAGCCACTCACATATCTAATGGAGTGCACCTATAAAAGGAAAGGGTGGAACCGGATTCTTGAGACCATAAGCTGACATAGACTGTCTGAGCCATCTAAAGATAGTGGAATGACAAGCTGGTGCACCCTTATGGGGACCAACTGGGATGACAAAAAAGGGAACCAGTCTTTCTGAAGGAAGCAGTAGCTCAGCCCAAACTGGATTCTGGCAATGGAGGTAAATCTTCTTTTGATGACAGAGGGACCGAAGAAGGATGCCCTGGTTGAGGTGAAATGCCAATACTACCTCACATAGGAAGGATGTTCTGGGCCTCCACAACACCATGTTCAAAACCAGAAAAGGCTGCCTACTCAGATGCACACCTTGAAGTGGTGATGGCTACAAGAAACACCATCTTTTGGGTGATCGAAAAAAATTCCTCAGAGCGCCCACTAGGAGATTTATCTGATCGGAGTACCACATCCATCTGGGTCAATCTGAACCAATAAGGACCTTCGTAATACCTTCCATCTCAATCTTGGAAAGGGAATGAGAATTTTAAGGGTGGGAAGGTATAGATGAGGGTGTACTGATTCTATGAAGCCAACAGAGCATTCACTGCTTCCACTAGAGGATCCCTGTACCTGGAAACAAAACTTTCAATTTTGTTGTTGAGCCAGGAGGCCCACATCCTGCTTCCTGGAACCGTCCAGGTGTCCCCAGTGCCGGTTGAGAAGGTCTGTCTGCCTATTGTCCAAGTCTCAGATGCAACTACCTCTCGCCATGGCGAGACTTTAGGCTGGCATCTATCGTCAAAATCTTCCTTCTAAAACAGAGGAAGGAAGGACTCCCTAAAGCTGGAAAACCAAAAAGCAGCCCTGCACAACTGTAGCTTAAAAACTACAAACATTTGCTCCAAATGTTCTACCATCAAGGGATCAACCGCAGTAGTGACCAGATCCCTTTTTAATAGACTTTGGTCAGCCAGAGTTTTGCAAAGAAAAGTCATAGCTTAATGGTTGGGTACTTAAAATACAGGTGTGTCCTCCATTGAAATTGTGGTTGTAATTTTAAGATTGAACACTGCCGGATCCACAATAGGCGCAGACCACTATTTAACAGAGCTAATAAGCTGGCTAATAAGGCTAATAAGCTGTTGAGTGGGAAACCAACATCTTGTCAGGGTGTTTCCAATCTTCATAGGAGGAAGGCTAAGAACAGCAGGTGCCCCAGGGAAGTTTTGGCAGTCCTAGGGGATCTAAAAGGACCCAGGACAGGGAACAGCACTGCTAGAAGCAACAAGCTGATCCTCTAATTTCAGAGTGGTGTGAACCACATCAATAAGAGTTAAAAACAGTATCTTTCAATTTGGGAGCAATGGCAGAAAACTCCAATTCCTTGGAAACAATTGGCCATATCAGATATAGAATCTACAGGGGAAAGCGTAAAAGCATGGTTGTGGCCTCAGGGTTAACAAATAACTGGATGATTTTGGCTGTAAAGTCATGCATGACTGTAGCAAAAACCTCTTTTGAAATGGCAGAGAAGTAGTGCACAGCAGAAGGACCTCAAGATAGGCAACAGGATTCTAGGCTGCAGACATTGACCATATCAGTTGGCGTGCTGCAAGCAGCACCAAAGCCGTTAGAATGTGTGCTGAGGGGAACCAGGAACCGCAGGACTGTGTTGAGACCATGTGGCAGTAAGGTAGTGTAAAACTCAGGGTACGAGGCAAAGCCTCAACCACTGGATAGCAGGCGAGGGTCAGATGGCCAGTGGTGACGACAGTTACCGTAGGCGGGCAGCAGGAACGGAACAAAGATCTGAGTTCCATGTGACCCTTTGGAATTCTTCCTTGGCCCCAATTAGCAGGGGGGAAAAAGCATAGAGCACATGCGACACTCCACCCATTAGATAACTTCAGTGATCAATCCCTTAGCGTTAACACCTTCTGAGGCAGGAATTAAAAGCTGTAGCCTTCAATGGGGAGCCTTATTGACCTACTCACAGAATGAGTGATCAAGTGACAAGGGAAGTGCTAAGGTAATGCCAATAACACTGAACCTGGAAAGCATTCTGCGGCTAACTAAAGGCTAGGCTAAGGGCAGTCACACCTGATAGCTGCAACTGAGAGAAGAGTCTTGACTAAAGAAAAATGCTAGCAAAAAAATAGGGTAATCTTTTTACAGCAGAGCTCAATAAGAGACATCCATCCTCCTAGGACACTAGTAAAAAACAGAGACATGTCAGCAGTAGTAGGGGTTATCTTAGGCTGGGTTACAGGTTTTTGTTGGCCAGTGTCCAATCTTCCTCTAGGTGTCAGTGTAACGTGAAGATTTAAGACTTCCTGTGTCCCACAATTGACAGGAAAGAAATAGAAGTGAACTGCCCAAATAAATTAGTCAAGTCTTTCTGCTGATGATTATGACCCCATACCTACAGAAAGGAGTACTCATTATGTTGGATTGCCAAATCGGTACAGATTTGGCACCAATTATAGTGTACACTTAAACACATCTTTTTATTACATGAATTGTTTGCATTTACTTACAAAGACATAACATTATACTTGCCTCTCCAAGTCTAGAACACATGACATCCTCCCATCCATCATCAGGAGGACACTCTGGAATGAAAAGCCAGTCGGCTCCAGATGCCAATGCAGATACTAAGGCTAGATACCTATAATAAATGGGGCGTTTCATATTATATCAGACAAGTTTGGTCACATCATTTTAGGGAATGTGTTAAAAATGAGAAACGAAAAAGAAAGCAGAACAAGGAAAAGGAACACACATGCACAAAAGTTCATAAACTAAAGGTAACAGGAACAAACTGGAAACAGTGTGAGAAATCTAGATCATGGAACCTGTAGCATTGTTAGGCAAGTAGAAGAACTTGAAAATTGATTACAAAAACTATAGGGCTCTCTTGTATTGATCAAGATACCTTGGTTAATGTAAAGTACATTTGTAATTGGCAGAAACATCATTGAATGTTGGTCTTAGTCCACTATATTTCCCTCCACAGAAGAATATCTAGGGCAATTTCGGATTCCAATTCTTTTATTGTAAGAAATTGGAAAGGCTAAATTATTCAAAATCTATTCAGCTGAATGTTTTTAGCCTTTGCAATTTTGTTAAAATAAAAAAAAAGAGAATTAAAAGCTGAAATTGCCCTTGATATTCTTCTGTGGAGGGATATCTACTGTATTAAGACAAGCGAGTCCCGAGACCCATTGCCTTGTGGGAGACATGTATAGCAACATTTTTTGAGGCTTTCCCTTTTGGAAGAGCACAAGTCTTCTTCTCCCTCTGGAATATCGACATGTGGGGACCAAGCCTTCACAAAACTGTTCCCTACACACCCTGCTTTCAGCCCAAATAAGTTGTGGCAGGGGCATTCCCACCCCACAGCTACATGTCACAAAGGGTCGGGGAATGCCCCTGCCACAACTAATTTGGGCTGGAAGCCCTTGCTTAAAAACACTAATTGCTCTATATTACACAGCATTTACATTAAACACACGAGTGATAAGCTTTCTATAACCCTTCATTACCAGGCAAGTTTTTAGTACTGTGATCGCTTGACAATTACTCGGTCATGCAATAGTGCACCTAAAATAAATGTTATATCATTTTTTAAGAGACAGAGCTTTCTATTGGTGGTATTAAATAACCATTATTGTAAAAAAGGAAAAGATTTTTATATATATGCACACATATACACACATACACACACAGAAGCTGATGTGACAGGTAACTAGCATTTAGTTCACTGTGTTAATGTATTGTATCAGTCGATAATTAAACACTTTTTGTACAATTGGTTTCTAAGGGTTGTGCTGGGTCATGGGTACTGAAAATAAATCACACTGGTGAACAGGATCTAGTAGCATTTTTGCTATATCAGGATTACCGGGGTGAAGAAAACAAATCATGCCTATACCACCCCAATGCAAATAATCACAGCCTTGATGTTATTTGCCTGAGGCGATTTTGTTTCTCATCAGCTACATAGATTATTTTGACTGCCAATTATTATGTGGCTATTTAAAAGTGAACTACATGGCACAAACTAAACAATACTGGAATACAGAATGAGATGTTTTACAAGTCAGATTTCCCAATACTGTTCAGTCAGTTTTATGATCCAGGCTCCCATTCCAGATAGCAAAACCAGCTGCTGGACCTTAGTGCAATTGCACAATACAGTCTAGTCTATGACACATCCACTGCAGACTATACTGCAGTTGCACAATACAGCTTTGCCTAGGACACACCATGGCATGGAGTTGGGCAATGTTTTACTATAAGAAAAATAAAGAATATTTCCTTTACCCACAATGCCGTCCCATCACTTCTAGCACAAATGTCCGTTGATGGCTACAATGAAAAAAACATTTTTGCATTATCTTAAAATATGAAGAGGTTACTATTAACATCTCTAAACACCAATAGCAATGACATACAAAGGAAAAGCCATAATTGCAAATTAAATATGCAGGCTCTGCTTGCTTTGCATAGCTACATAGCAGTTAGGCCATACTGCTCCTTCTCAGAATACAAGTGTATGGGTCAGCAGAATTGTTGAAAACAATGTATTCCCCATATTGCAGATTACTTATCTCTACAGTTTTTAAGGGAAAGGCTAAATAGGTGCACTTAGCCACATAAACTGGTCATAGACCTTGCAATCCGAATGCACAATCTCTATTCAATCTCCTTTACATCTGCCAAAACTATGTAGTAGAAGCCCTACATAAGCAATCTACTTTGTATACAAGCAAGTAGGCTCTCATACTACATTATTGTTGTTTGATAAAGAAGAGATTGTTCAGTTAAGATAACACACAGTGTATGGCCAGGTTAGGAGCTCCCTCCAGGTTCTGATCTGCAAATTTCTACAATACCATAAACACTGCAATATTATGCGCTCAGTGAAAATAAGCTATACTTTCAGTTAGTGTTTGGGTTAAATTATGGCGACAGGTTAATTGAAGGGTTGTATGTCAGGGACATTTTTTAGGACTTTTTGCAGTCAGTAGCGAAAGCTCCATGCCAAGAACCAACAGTTCCCAGCTCCCAGCCCCAAAAATGAAAATATCTTACCCTTCCCATACAGACCCACTTTCTCAATTCTCAATTTCAAACCATTATGGCTTACTGAAATATACAAAATTAATCAAAAATAAGAGGTTCCTTAGAAAAATTGTAAATTGATCATCTTTGGTGTGATCCAAGCACCCCTACCAGACAGTGCATCCAGCTGCTGGTCCTCCCAGCAGACTATACTGTGGTTGTGCAATACTAAGGGCTCATTCACACGGGCATCCACGCCCAGGCAGAGAACTGCTCCAGGGTGGTATAGGCGGCTGCATGCAATTACACACAGCACTTGTCCCACCTGGGAGCAGGCATCTGCACACGCATGCACCCTGTACAGATGTGCACGCCCATGTAAATGAGCCCTAAAAGTACAGTTTTCCTTTAAAGACGAGCCAGGAATGCCAACCTTCTATAATGCCAACTTCTATTCTCAGATTTCCTTAATGTGGAAATGTAGCAAAACTCTCATTCAGACTGGAACTCCTGCGATAAAGCTTTTTTACACGCAGAAGTTATCATCTGGGACGTCTAAAACAATTTTAATGCTTCCCAGATCGCCTTTTTCTGCGTTTAGCTATTCATGCTTAATCCTGCGTTTAGGCACGTTTACACGTGTTTAGAGCTTCTAATCAGATCCTGGTCACACAAGCATCTATTTTCTGTAAACGCAGCTAAACCAGTGACGTGCGGTACCTCTTGTTCCGGGTGAGGCATTCCTCAGCTTCGCCCTCAGCACATCCAGTCCAGCC